CCCCATTGAGGGCCCTATCCTGCCTGGGGAGTGGTGGGTGGATGGGATGGGGTGTAGGTTGAGGGTGGGTGAGGAGGGATCGGGATGAGGAGAGGGAGAGGGAGAAGGGACTTACATGTGAAACAAGCTTGTTGCCTAACTTGAATTAATAAAAAAGAGAGACAGAGAAAGAGAGAGAGAGAGAGAGAGAGAGAGAGAGAGAGAGAGAGAGAGAGAGAGAGAGAGAGAGAGAGAGAGAGAGAGAGAGAGAGAGAGAGAGAGAGAGAGGAGATAAAAGTGTAAAGTTTTTTTTTTTTTTTTTTTTTTTTTGGTTAGTGATTTGTGTGGGTGGGGCCATCTCTGGGCTGGTCCTGGGTTCTATAAGAAAGCAGGCTGGGGAAGCCATGGGAAGTAGCTCCCCTCCATGGTCTCTGCATCAGCTCCTGCCTCCAGGTCCCTGCACTGCTTGAGTTTCTGTCCTAACTTCCTTTGATGAACAGTGACATGGGAGTTTAAGCCAAATAACACCCACACACACACCATTTGCTTTTTGGTCATGGTGTTTAGAAACCATGTTTATAATAGCTATCCAATTCCAAGTAGTTAGTCCTGGAAACAGATACATGCAGGCAATACCAAATGAAATCAGCAGGTCATCATTACATAACTTTGCATTTATATGTTTGTGTAACAACAATAATTAAAGAAGAGGGGGACACAAGGGATAGAAGGGAGGGAAGAGAGGGAGAAATGATGTAATTATATTTTAATTACATGAAAAAAGGAAAATATATTGGTACAAACACAAGTATTGTTAAGTGTCAAACCCAGGATAAATGACAGAGGTGCCTATTTAACATATCCAAGCAGGCCTGGCCCCCAGGTTCTCCCTCAGTCCCTACCTGTTACTGGCTATGGCTGGCACATCCTGACCTCTATTCTGAACTCTCCAGCCCAGGGGCTGGGCTGCCCTTCCCCCAGAGGCTCTTCCCTACACACTCCATATGCTTTGGTTGCCCTGCCCCCTTTTGTACCTTTGGCCTCCTGGCTGCTGTACCCCGTTCCCTTTCTCCCCCCCCCTCCCACTCTCCCCATATGGCCCAGCTCAGTCTGGTCACCTCCACTCTGAACTCTCCCAGATGTCCCTGCCTCTGCCCATGCTCTCCCACATATCTACAATAAACTTTCTCCTCCACCACACCTAGAGGCAGTCATGTCCTTTCCTTTCTTTTTAATTTTGTATTTCTTTTTTCATTCAAGTATGATATGCATTTGTAGATATCTCCCTAAAAGTGGAATTTTCTGAGGCTCTCTGTGTTATTAGTATCATTCATACATACTAGTATATTCATATGTTTTAACTTTTGTGTTTAAATTAAATTAAATTTTAAATGCCTCTTAAAGAGAAATTAAATGCATGCATTTAATTAACAAATGTTTTCTCCTGACGAAAGGAAATGTGTGTGCAAGAGAAAGTCCTTACATTGAAGGGTTATTGTGAGCTAGCATCGTTACCAGAAGGCAGGCAATTGCTCTCTTCTGATGTGTGCGTTCTGTGGGCTCTAACAATCTGCCTCATTCTTGTCCCCCAGTGACAATCTTCTGATGGAATCCTGGGGAATTGCTAATCAGACTGAGTCCTCTAAACAGGAACCAGGTAACTCCTCAAATGAGGAGACTTTTTGGAAGCTCACCCCTTCGGAGCACTGTTTTCCCATGGCCTCCCAAAGCAGGTGATGCAAGTACCACCTTCTTCTTTTTTTTTTCCATTCATTTATTTAGCTCATAAATAAAGTCATGCACAATTATAATACAGAATACAGTATGTTCACAATGGCATGGCTAAATTAAACCAATTAACATATTATATCACACATATTCATCATTTTTGTTTTGAGAACACTTAAAGTATACTCTCACAACTTTTAAAATATAGCATATTGTTATCAACCATATTTATCATGCTCTCAGTAGACCTCAAGACTTCACAGAGTCCATGCCTCTTGTCCATCTGCAGTTTTATATCCTTAAGTACCACCTTCTTTTGAATTCTTTCTGCCTGAGGATTCCAGAATGAGAATCTTTTGATGGCATCACATTGTCACCCTGCCCCCTCCCTGCTCTTCTCCATTTTACCTCACCATGGAACAAGAGCCTCCTCCTTCTTTTAATGTAGAACTTATCCCTGCTGCTCCAAATCTTCCAAGTTCCTTCTTATGTGGTCATACCTTTAAAATATTTATCACTTAACTTTTCAGACTAACATTTGCTTCCAGAAATATAAGTCACCTAGGCAGCCCCCAAAACTTATCATTTCCAGTGGTAAGTAAAATAGATGTCCTTTATGATAGGGCTAGATGCTGGAAAAAAATCAGGAAATCCCCTGGGGCCAAAAATAGGGTAGATGCCGGGCAGGGGCAGTGGGGTAGCACACCTTTAATCCCGGCACTTGGGAGGCAGGGGCAGGCGGGTCTCAGTGAGTTCGAGGCCAGCCTGGTCTACAAAGTGAGTTCCAGGACAGCCAAAGAAACCCTCTGGCAACTCAGCATCAAGTGCATGTGTAGATGCTGCAGTCACTCAGGGTGGGGATTTCCGGGTTTAGGAACCCCAGGCTTGGGGTATTATGCTCAGGGCAAGACAGGACGGGGCTTAGGTCTCCAGGATGCTGAGCATCACAGCTGCTCACTCCTGTAGGAATCCTGGTTCCTGCAAGCAAGCATTCTTCTCAGAGGAAATGGCGCCCTTGGCCCAGGAAGACATGAGGCTTTCCTGATCTCTTCTGGGCTCTGAAGGGTTAGATCCTTGAGAATCTGTGACAGTAGTTTCCAAGAAACCCCATGCTGAGAAACAGGCATAAACTGAGGTGGAGGCAGCAACTCACCTTGGCATCTTACAAAGCAAAGCCCAAATCCTCTGCAGGATTAGATTCTTGTCTAGCTGTAAAATAAAGGATAACTATGCTGCAATCCCCAGACCCAGAGAGACTAGGTAACAAGGAGGGATGATGCGGGCATGCCCTCCCTGGGAAGGGGAAAGAGATTTCGTGAGTGGACCGTAAGTAGGTAGGGATGGGAGCACGAGTGATCAGGTGGTGGGAGGCAGAGTACTAATAGAGACTACTGGAAAAGGGCGGGGCATTTCAGGGTCAAGTAAAGAAACTGGTGCAAGGGAGTCTCCCAGGAACCTACAAGGATGACTCCAGCTAAGACTCCTAGCAATAGCGGATATGTAGCCTGAACTGGCCATCTCCTGTACCAGATTGGTTCATAGCTCAATAGTCATTCAAGAGGCTTCATCGACTTTTTATTTCTTAGCAGCAGCACCGATTTCGATTTCTGAAAGCCAATAGCTTCTATGTACCACCTGCTCTTGGCTAATCCACTTGGCTCACCTCCGCACAGAACATTTACGTTTGAGAGGCCTGCCCTCTGCTGGATTATTGAAATATTACATGCCAGATTTCAGCGTGCCAAATTAGGTCTCATATATGGAAGGACCAGTTGTTAAGCGTTTTGAACAACATAAATAAATAAAAATTATTTGATGTAATTCCTGAAAACCTTCAAAATTTTTTCCATAGATATGTATGTGCATTTCGCATATTTTCTGGTTATA